CATGAACTGAGAGGTCCTGGTTCAATTCCTGGTCAGGGCACATGCCCAGGTTGTGGGCTAGATCCCCAGTGAGGGGCATGCAGGAGGCAGCCGATCAATATTCCTCTCTCATATCAATGTTTCTATCTTCCTCTCTCTCTCAAAAATCAGTAAAAACATATTAAAAAATAAAATATGCAGCTCAGCGATTTTTAGTATATTCAAAGTTAGCATCTACCATCCCAGTCAATTCCAAAACAGTCTCATCACTTGGAAAAGAAACCCTGTACTCGTTAGAAGGCACTCCCCTCTTATTCCCACCCTAGGAAACCACAAATCCATTTTCTGTCTCTATAGATTTGCCTATTGTGGGCATTTTAAGAATTTTTTTTTCTTTACTGATTTGAGAGAGAGAGGAAGGGAGAGGGATAGAGAGTTCTACAGAAACATCGATGAGAGAGAACATCAACTGGCCACCTCCTGCATGCCTACACTGGGGATTGGGTCCACAGCCTGGGCATGTGCCCTGACCAGGAATCAAAGTCATGACCTCTTGGTGCAGGGTTGACGCCCAACCACTGAACCACACCAGCTGGGCTATTCTGGACATTTCACATAAATGGAATCATTCAATATGCAGTCTTTCATGACTGGCTTCTTCCACATAGCATGTTTTCATGGTCCATTCATGTTGTAGCAATATCAGTACTTCATTTCTTTCCAATGCCAAGTAATATTTCTTTGTACACATGGACCACTTTTATGTGTCCATTCATCAGTTGGTGAACAGGTAAGTTCCTTCCATTTTTTGGCTATTATGAATAATGCTGCTATAAATATCAGTGTACATGTTTTTATGTGGACAGTGTCTTCACTTTTCTTGGGCATATACCAAGGGGTGGAACTGGTGGGTCAAATGGCAACCTCGTGTCTGACCTTTGCAGGACTGTGGACTTATTCCAGCGCCTGCATGTTCCTCTCAGCAACACATGCAGACTACCGTTTCTCCACAGCCTGCGGACACTTGTAATCGTACATGTTTCCAACTGCAGCTGTCCCAGTGAATGTGAGGTGCTGCCTCATTGTGGCTTTGACTTGCATTTCTTCGACATTGAGCAGTTTTTCATGTGTTTGCTGATCCTTTGCTCTCTTCTTTGGAGAAATGTCTATTCATTTCCTTCACCCATTTTTTAATTGGTGGTTGTTATTATTATTATTGAGTGCTTTATGAGATATATGATTTGGAGAACTTTTCTCCCATTGTGTACATTGTTTTTTCACTTTCTTGACGTATCCTTTGGCAGAGACAAACATATATATTTTGATGATATCCAATTTATCTATTTTTTCTTTTGTTTCTTGTGACACATCTAAGAAACTGTGACCTAATCCAAGGTCATAAAGACTGACATCTATATTTTCTTTTAAAATTGAGTCGTTTTAGCTCTTACACTTAAGTCTTTGTTCTAGTTTGAGTTAATTTTTGCATATGGCCTATGTGGATATTCCATTGTCTCAGCATCACTTGTTCAAAGCAGATCAAGACTGAGATATGAGATTTCTATCACCCCAGAAGGCTCTTCCACACTTCCACTTCCCACAACATCCATTCATTTACTCACTCCAATCAGACATACCCCCTCCATCAGAATGCTGCTTTCGGCAGTATAACCCTCTCCTCAAAAATGTCTTTTTATAAATGTTCTTAATAACTGTTGACCTGAAAAATCATATTAGAATTCTGCTTTCTGAGTCCATGTATCCCTTCCTCCCCCTTAACAAAAAAGACTATTTTTTGGACAAGGAAAACACATCTTATACCCTTTCCTGGGTTTGAAAATGCTTTTGCTTTGTGGGCAATCCCAGTCAATACAAGAGACATGGAGTGGATCATGCAGACAAGTATTCTGTCTGTCATCTCAGTACTTGGCTCCGGGGGATGGAGAGACTGCTGATGCAAGTGCCTCTGAGTGCTCCTGTGCTCTCTGCCCTCGGTGGCTGGTAGTGTGCTACTCTTTTGTAAATTCTCTCTGTTCTTCTTCATTTGATGTTTCTATGATTTCTGCTACTTTTGTTAGCATGTGGCCTACTGATTTGAAATGTACTTTTATCTCATGTAATTTATTTGGGAAGCTACCTGGAAGGAACACAAACCAACAGTGCAATTGTCTGGATACTAAAGATTTGTAAAATGTCATTTTGAAATAAAGAGCTATTCCCTCACAAACAATTAGAAAGAAAATAAAATAATAATTTGCATATGGTCCACATGTACCTCAAAAACCCAAGAGAACCAACTGAAAATGATGACGCATGGCCACGCGTATAACTATTGAAAGACTGGTATCTACAATATATATATAAAGTTCCTGATTTTGCAGGTCTAGGGTGTAAAGATGCTGGGACCTTTAAATCAGCAGCCCTAGCAATTCGCATACTGATGAATCTCCCCCCACATTCTGGGATGTACTGATTTAGAGGGCTCCGCAAATTCTGGCTCACATGCGAGAACAGGCTAGGTTGGAATGGGGCACCACTCAAGGGAAAAGTAAACGATGTGGGAAATGGAGAAGCTGGTCATGCATGTAGGATGGTGTGCTCCTCACAGCCCTGGGGCAGAGGCATAGAGGTGGACTGGCTGCTGGGCACACATGACACCCAGGATGGGAAACATCTCTGTGGGCTGCCTATAATCCTGTGACAGAAGCAGCTGGCCAGCCAAGTGCCATCTTTGCCTCCTGATATGGTTTACTGAGGATGCTGGGAGACATTCAAGCACGTCAGGAGCATCCAGTTCTTGCTGACCCTGGCTGCCTTTACGAGATACCCCATTCCTCCTCCCAGATCACTTGGCCCAAATCATGGCATCCTTTGTCCTTCCTGTACCAACTTGGCTTGCTCCGTCACTATATGCAGATCTGCTAAACTATATAAACTAGTAACTTCCATTTTTAAAACTTATTAATATACTTCATTTTTTAGAGCAGTTTTAGGTGCACAGCAGAATGAGCAGAGGTTACACGATTTTCCACCTCTTCCTTTCTTAGCACATCCTCATTTTCCAGAGGTGCAAGATGTTCCAGGAACATCCTGTCTGTCCTGGCCCCAGTTCTGGAATCGGCCATTTCTCCCAGGACCCCTAGTCTCTTTTACTGGAGAATGGCATTGGTAGCGAGATCTGGGTGCTGGGTGTTTGTTGCTGATGGAGTGTCACTGCTTCTAGGCCCTCTCGGCTGACAGAGCCAGGAGACAGATGTGTGCGCTCTGGCCCGTGTACACACACGTCTATGAACACTTCTAGATGCAGTCACCTGTATGGACAGGAAGCTGAACAGAAGCGCAAACTGCTATCTCCAACTCTGATTCATCACCACGTGGACTGTTCCCGCCGCCTCCCCTTGCTGGTGTGTAACCGCCCTCCAGCAGTGAGATCCTGGGTTGCCCACACAGCTGTGTACTGTCCTGTCCCAGCAGCACTGCAGCCCTGTCAGCACTGCAGACCTGACCCATGCTCCTTCGTTCTCACCCCTGCTTGCTCTGCTCTTCTCCACTGCCCTTCACAATGCTTGGCATGCTCTGTTCCCCTTCATAGCAACAGGGACATTTCCTACTGGGTCTCCAGCCCCTGAAACTGCCTTGAACAAAGTAGCTGCTCAAAAAATATCAGCTGAATTATTAAGTGAATGAAAAATCTTTATGCTTATTCCCACAATGAAGCAGGTCTCAGTCAGGCCTTTCTAATCCAGCAATATGTTATTTAGCCTTGAGATACTATATCTACTTCAATCAAATTATAATTGTAAAGGCCTGGCCGGGCAGTTTGGTTGGAGCATTATCCCACACACAAAAAGGCTGCAAGTTTGATTCCCAGTCAGGGCACATACCTAGGTTGTGGGTTCAATCTCCAGTTGGGACATGTTTGAGAGGCAACCAATAGAAATAAATGTCTCTCTCTCCCTTCCTCTCACATTGTCTCTCTCTAAAAACTAACAAAACAATAAAAACATATTCTTGGGTGAGGATTTTTTTAAAATTGTAATTGTAGAAAATAATTTAGACTTTTCACCAATTCACTGGACTTCTCTCCTCAGCTGTTTCAGTTGTAACCACCCAACCTCACAGCCAGCTGTCACTACAGCTCCCCCTCCTCCTCTGAGGCCTGAAGTGAACCACCCTCCCCACACTATCACCTTCCCCAAACCCAAAACTTCCTGGACACAGCCAACCTCATTTAAATTTCCTAGATACTTTTGATTCAAGCTATCTATTGATAAATATTCTTTTCACATTTGCTAGGAACATGAACAACAAAATCACTACCATAAGTTCAAGTCACAGATAAATGAGGAATTATATAAAAATTAAGCTACTGCCCTGGCCGGTGTGGCTCAGTGGTTAGAGGTCAACCCACCTCCCTGAAGGGTCGCAAGATTGCTTTCTGGTCAAGGGCACACCTGGGTTGCAGGTTCAATCCCCAACCCAGGTCCAGGCATGTGCAGGAGGCAACCAATCGATGTGTCTCTCTCACATTGATGTTTCTCTCTCCCTCTCCCACTTCTCTAAAAATCAATGGAAAAAGTATCCTCAGGTGAGGATTACCAACAAGAAAAAAAACCCCAAAATACAATTAAGCTACTGATTTTAAATTAATCTTCCAAAAGAACTTCCAAAAGTGAGGGCATGTAAAATAATTTTTGGAGAAAGTACACAGATTTGCTCCTGTTTCTTAGTGTAGAAGCCTGAGATTTAAGAACAAAGACTAATAGGGAACATATGGAAAAGATCAGTAACAAGATGAAATCTTGGCCCAAATATGCTCGGCCACATTTTACATACCAGTGTCTCAAATAATAGATGAGATCTGTTCAATATTGCCAAAACATCACTTGGAATATTGTATGTACACTTTTAAAAAATCTGAAGTATAGCAAAATAAACAGTGTGAATTATTTGTAAAACCTAATGGAAAACACTATTTTGAAGGAGAAAAAAAGTAAAACGAATTCCAGGATTCACTCTACCTTATTCGTTTGCACAAGCTTGAAAGAATCTTCCAAAGAATGAACTCCAAGTTCATTGCCAAGAGATACAAGTTAACTCTCTGTTTAAAATATGAAAACATTAGTATAAAAATATGGCATTTAGGCAGTCAATTGATACTTTTCAGGAGAGACCGTTTAGTAAATCAGAAAATTATCTACATCTGCAAAATAAAGGCAGAAGTTCCTAATTCCATCTTATTCAATGCTATAAAGGTATTATTTCTATGACTAAAAACTGACAAATCAGATATACCTTCTAAAGGCAAAACACTGAATTCTATAATCAAGAGATTAATTTTTATTTTGAAAGTTATTAGAAGCCATTCTAATGAGTATATTTGGGAGGAAGGTGACAGCTGAGAGGAAAAAAGATACAACCTTTTGTATGGAAAAGGTATACATTTAATCTGTCTCCAATGGCAGTTAATTAAAAAAATTAACTAGATGTGAAATACTATGTTTTTAATCCTAGTTCACGTCTTAATGAAAAGAAGCACTGGTATGAACACAGGGTTCAGACAAGCAAGGTCTCCAGAGGACTCTGAGGTCCACCTTAAATTGCTGAGACACTGCGCTCCATGTTACGGAGGACCTTAATTTGAAGAATTCTTTGGCATGAAAATGAAAATAAAAACAGTAATCAGTACATGCTGTTTCATTTAGCTCTGTTTGCCCTTCATATTAGAGAAAATTCTTGCCACACCTCAAACCAAACTCAAAGGGAAAAGAAAGAAGTAAGCCACATAAATCTGACCAAGAACACAAGCATCTTAATTTGAATCCACAAAGTTTTGGATAATGAAAAGACGAACATAATTTTAATTCAACCCAACTGTTTACCAGGCAGAGTATATTTGCTTAAATTGCTAGTGATTCAAGAGACAGCCCTATTTGAACACACAGTTGCTGGGGATTTTTAAGAGACTCAGTTAAGGAATTTAGGAATTTCTGATTCATTTACAGGATTTGCAATTCCACCAACCCCTGAAAACTAAAGCAAACTCAACAGGTATGATGATAAAATAATTTTCAATTTTTAAAGAAAGTATTCCTACTGTTAAATATAAAAAAGTGTATCTAATTTGTTTGATATTAAAATAGATTGCTGCCATCATAAAAGCACAATTTTTGGAAGCAATATCTGGTAAAAGCTACATTAAAACTTTGATTATCCAATTATTCAGGGAAAGAAGTATTATAGTGAACTTAATTTTCTAACTTAGGATCTACCCAATAAATAATTGTTGTTTATATATTTTTTTGTTTTGAATGAAAATTCTTAAATTAATAGAATAATTTTCTGTTTCTTTGGTCTCTCAACTGTAAATGACAAAAACCTGACAAATGGCTTGGGCCGCACATTTGCCCAGAGCTAGAGATTCTGGCAGCAGGGAGATGGGTATCTACAAATTTCACCAGACATTTTCTAAAAACTTCTTTATCGCCAAATCCCTGGCATATCAATGTTTTTGTTTTCATTTGCTTCTTTCTCAAAGGGCAGAGATGAGTATTCTATCTACTACTGAAAGATCTAGTTTCTTGGGTTTTGGTTAAGATTTAAATGTATTATGGCTAAAAATAATTTTGAAACTTTCGTATTTTTAATAGTAAAGAGTCTTACTTCCTCAGGCCTTGGGTATAATAATGACAGTATACTAACTCTACGGAGTTAAATTTAAAATTGCTTTTTAAAAAATCCTGAATCATACATTAATACCTGGTTTCTTGTAGTCTAGATTCTGTAGCATACCAAAAAAACAATTAAGTCTATTTAGAAATAATAAAATGACATGAGGCTTTCCAATAACTTGAAACGCTCAAGAACAAAGCTCTGCCTCATTGCAGTCAGAACTTCCCTGACGAAAGCACTAGTGCTTTGTTCCAAGTGAGAGAAATGTTATGACATAGAAACTTTATTGCTATAATATGAAAAATTCACATTAATGGATCATTTTTAAAACTGGTAACTTGCATTGTACTTTCTTTTTCACATTTGTTATTTTTCTACCATACAATGTAATAAGAAAGTGAAGAATACAGTATATTGTGATGGAGATACATTCAATAGACAAGAGAACAGCCACATTACATTCTCTGTGATTATGTTCATTTAAAGAAATCAGTGCGATGAAATAAATGCCCAGAAATAATCAAATAAACATCATTAATGAGATGGAATCTATAATTTATTAATCCAATCATTCCACAAAATTTTGAGCGCTTATACAATGTTAACTATACTAGATTCTGTCAAAAATTAGAGGTCAGGAAATTATTGACAGTGAGTTATAATGTTTTGCTATGAATTATCCCATAGGAAACAAAACATACATTATAGGACATAAAAGGTTAGGAGAATAAAAATATGCTTAGCAAATGACTGGAAAGAAATCAGTTGAGTGAAAATTTGGATGAAAAGAAATGAGAGACCATCATCGTTGTCATGGGTGAAGTTAGAGAGAGAAAAGAATAATGGACCTATGGACAGGGATGGAATGGATTGCACACCAGAAAGCCACACTAACAGCTGCGAGGCTGAGACACAGGAACACTGTGGTCCTCAAGGGATAAGGGCAATGATGATGAGTTCAGATTGAGAAAAGAAACGTTTCTTCTTAGGTGGCCAAGGAGACCCAAAGCAGACAGCACTAAGAACCAACCCCTTTATTCCAGAGAGGACGCATCACCATAAGGTCTTGATTCCAGGTAAAAGGTATGCAATTGGTACAGGATCAAAAGTATTGTCTAGGTCTTCTTTTCCCCCAATAATTTATCATAATTACTGAATAACAGAGTTATGACTAATTCTCAAATATAAGTTTACTAATTGATGGTTACTAGTATTCTTTATTTCCTCCTTTTTATTGAATTTATTGGGGTAACAAAATGATTCAGGTTTCAGGTGCACAATTCCACAGCACATCATCTGTACACTGTACTGTGTGTTCATCACCCCAAGTCAAGACTCAGTCCATCACCATTTATCTCCCCCTCCCCTTCCCTGCAATCACCACACTGTTGACCCTGTCCATGAGTTTTTTTCTTTTTTTTTCTATGCCTCCGCCCACTTAACACAAAATTCAGAGTTCTTATGAGCAACACCCTTTTCAAAGTCCAGCTGTGTAACAGTTAGCTTCTGAGACCCCTACATGCCCTGACCCCACACTGCTGCACATCTCTGCCACTGCTTCCACTTTCCTCTCTCTGGGACACCACCGCCTCACAGAACCCCACCTCCACAGTGTAGAGAAACTGACATGATGCGTAAGTACTTTAAAAAGTTAATGAGCCATACTATAATGAGTATAATAAAATATTATAAATTTAATACCTAAGTTATTATTAACTAGTGGATAAGATGTTTAGGTTGTTCTATATCCATTCCTGTTAATGTCCCAATGCCTGGGCCAGATAATGACTATATATAGAAAGACTTCTATATATAGAAGTGGTGGTTACTCCACCACCTCCCACAGCACTGGTGTCTGTGTTGTAAACCGTATTTCCCTCTGCCTGAGAATACAGGTCACGGTGCTGTGTCTCTCTCACCCACTAAACTGTATGCTCTTTAAAGAAGGGGCCATTCCCTCTTCATGTCTTCATTTCTGTTCCACACCAAGTCAGTGCCTACAAATAGACATTCATTAACTGAAGTAACCCAACCAAACTAAATAACTACTAACAGCTGTAAGGTGCTTTCCTAACTACATTCACACATAACATCTAGTATAAGTCACTCACTAACTACAGCAGGTGAGAAACACTCCCAATCAGACGCACTGGGAGCCCCATCTCCACCCCACCCCATCAAGGTCAGCTAGAACTGAAAATGACCCTCTGGAATAAGACCACATTCCTTCACTTTCTTCTTCCCAGGACCCTCTCCTACTCCATGTATGAACACCGCTCTGTGAAGGTCATGGCTCAACTACATGAATAAATTAAACTGGGTGTTCAGTCCCAGAGTGTAAGTTCCTCAAGTCAGAATTCAGACCCTCCAGATTTCGATTCAGATTGAATGTAAATTTTATTTGGCTCCTCCAACAGTTCACCACCAGTTTCCCAACACTCCGCCCTCTGTTACTTATATATTTTTGATCATCTCTTATATCTAGAAATCTTCCCTATCTCCCTCTTTGAGCACCTTAATGCTCTTTCAAAGTTTTGTTCAAATGTCACTTCCTCCATGAAACCTACAGATAAGAGGAACAATGGATGAAGTCTATTTAGATTTGCAATAAGAAACTTTATGAGTTGCAAAAGCAGATCGTTTAAAAGATCAAACCATTACTGTTCTGACATTTTCTGTAGCTAGGGATAAGATTAATATACAATGAACAAATATATTAAATTATTTAATTATTTTCTTGGTAAAAATAAGAAGGAAGGCCATCATCCAAAAATCAACAGGGAAATGAGGGTTTAGGGGCGTGTCTAGGAGGAAGTGTGGAGCACTGCCTAAGGCCTGTTGCTGGGCAGTGCTTCAGTGGTCATGGATTTAAAGTGTGACCAGTTTGCATAGCCCTGCTTTTTTCTTGGCATATTCAGCTGCCTGAGTCAGGCCAAGAGCAGTTGGAGAATTGAAGTAACCAGATTATGAGGTTATAAGGGGCCAGAAAGTTGACGGCATGTGCAAAGGGTGATGACGGTGACACACATGGGGCCTGGGTTGAGAAGACGGCACTGAGTTCAGTGGAAGGTACAGACAATGGCAATGGAACAGTGCTAGGCTCCTCATATTCTAGGTCCCACTGAAGAATTATTGCAGTCAGAGTCACCGCACGGAGGGTGGTCAGCGTGCGGACGGGCTGCGGCACTGGAAAAGAGGCCATGGTGTGGATGCAGAAAAAGGAGTGGAACGGGAGGAAGACAGGAGGACATAGAACTGAAAGCAAAGAGATTGACGGCCTCTGACTCTACTTGAGTAACTACTTCAATTCCCAAATACACACAATATTTCCATTCTACCAAGTTTTAGTTTCTAATAAGAAAAAAACAAAAACAAAAAAAGGACAATAAGGTCTATAGCAGCCTTTCTAAAATGAGATTCTATCAGAGA